CCCACATGCCGTGGAGTGGCTGGGCCCATGAGCCATGGCCGCTGAGCCTGCGCGTCCAGAGCCTGTGCTCCACAGTGGGAGAGGCCACAACAGTGAGAGGCCCGCGTACCGCAAAGAAAAAAAAAAAAGGACTTGACACAGCCAAAACTATAAATTAAATAAATATTTTTTTAAAATGTAAAACAAAAGCTGAGTTCATAACCACTAGATCTGCTTTACAAAACAATGCTAAAGGGAGCCCTAAAAGTTGAAACAAAAGGCCATTAGAGGGGCTTCCCTGGTGGTGCAGTGGTTGAGGGGTCCACCTGCCGATGCAGGGGACACGGGTTCGTGCCCTGATCCGGGAGGATCCCACATGCCGCAGAGTGGCTAGGCCCGTGGGCCATAGCCACTATAATTATAAAACTATATTGAATACACGTAATTTGTGACATCAATAACAAAGTGGGAATGGGGAGATGTAAAAGACTTTTTTTAGGCAAAGAAAATGCCTACAGAAGATAAAATCAGAAAGAAATCAAAGTATATCAATATAAAAAAATCAAAGAAATACAAAGGAGGGCTGCAAGAGAGACAGAGGGACAAATTAGCTGCAAAACAGAAAACAATTAAAATGGCAATAAGTCCTTCCCTGTCAATAATTTGAATGTAAATGGGTTAAACTGCTCAATCAAAAGACATAGCGTGGCTAAATGGACTGAAAAAAACAAGATGCAACTATATTCGTTCTACAAGATAACATCACCTTAGATGTAAAGACATGTAGACTGAAACCAAAAGGATGAAGGATATTACATGCAAACGAGAGCAGAGGTAGCCATAAATGGAAAAAATAGACTTGAGCCAATACTATCTCTAGAGGCAAATAAGGACATTATATAATGATAAAAGAATCAATTTACCAGGAAAATAAACAATTATAAACATATTTTAAAAGATAACTATCATAAACAATCAAAAATAAATATGTATGTAACATCAGAACACACAAATATATGAAGCAAACAGTAACAGAAATGACAGAAGAAACAGACAGTAAAACAATAACAGTAGAGTTTAGGGACTTCTCTGGTGAAACAGTGGCTAAGACTCCATGCTCCCAACACAGGGGGCCCAGGTTCGATCCCTGGTCAGGGAACTAGATCCCATATGCATGCTGCAACTAAGAGTTCCCATGCCACACCTAAGAGTTCCCATGCCACAAATGAGGAGCCCGTGAGCCACAACTAAGACCTGGCATAACCAAAATAAATAAATAAATAAATATTTTTTAAAGAGAGTTTAATACTCTGCTTTCAATAATGAAGAGAACAACCAGACAGAAGATCAATATGAAAAACAGAGAACTTGAACATCACTGTAGACCAACCTCACCTAACAGGCAAATACAGAACACTCAACCTTATAGCAGCAGAATACACATTCTTCTCAAACACACAGGGAACATTTTCCAAGATAGATCACATAATAGATCACAAAACAAGTCTTAACAAATTTAAAAATACTGAAATCATACCAAGAATCTTTTCCAATCACAATGGAATGAAATTAAAAATGAAGAGCAGTTGGGAAATAAAAAATTCACAAATATGTGGAAATTAACACTCTTGAACAACAAACTGGTCAGAGAAGAAATCTCCTCCCTCAAATTAGAACATACTCTGAGACAAACGGAAACAATAACACGATATACTAAAACTTATGGGATGTAGCAAAAAGTACTAAAAGGGAAGTTTACAGCACGAAGTGCATACATAAAGAAAAAAGACCTCAAATCAACAACCTAACTTTACATTCAAGGAATAAGAAAAAGAATAAGCAAAGTTTATTTGCAAAGGGAAGGAAATAATAAATATTAGAGCAGAAATAAACAAAATAGAGAATTTTTTAAAAATACAAACAAAACTAAGAGTTTTTTAAAAATCAACAAAATTGACAAGCCTTTAGCTAGATGGAGAGAGCGAAGGAGACACAATGCAAACCAGAAATTAGAGAAGACATTTCAATGGAAGCCACAGAAACAGAATTTTAAGCGACTACTACGAACAATTATACACTAATTGGATAACCTACAAGAGTTGGATAAATTTCTAGAAACATGCAATCCACCCAGACTCAATCATGAAGAAATAGAAAACCTGTAGTAAGGAGATTAAATCAGTCATCAAAAACTTCCCAAGAAAGAAGAGCCCCAGGATCAGCTGCCTCCACTAGAGAATTCTACCAAGCATTTAAATAAGAATTAATGCTGAGGGCTTCCCTGGGGGCGCAGTGGTTGAGAGTCTGCCTGCCGATGCAAGGGACAAGGGTTCGTGCCCCGGTCTGGGAAGATCCCACATACCGCGGAGCAGCTAGGCCCGTGAGCCTAGCTGAGCTAGGCTGAGCCCGCGCGTCCGGAGCCTGTGCTCTGCAACGGGAGAGGCCA